TGTCTACTTCAACATTTGACTGATTTGGGGGAATGAAATTTTTACATGCCTAACTGCCCTTCTGCTACTAAATTACACTGGGTAGTGTGCCCTGTGAATTAGATACATCAATACTTGGGTCCATTAATGTATTTAACCAAAGATCCTCAGGCTGAATTTACCATTCTTAGCATCCATTTTCCTGCAGTTTGGCCTGGACAAGCAAATCTGATTGAATTGGGACTTACAGGCTTGGTTTTGTTGCAGCATTAATGTATTTTAGGGAGTTTTCAGTACTTCTCATTATCTGACAAGAAAATACATTAAGTATGCATGTAAAACATAATGTAGGACCTGTCAAGGAATTAAAATCACAGCTTGCTTCATTGTAGTTTCTGCAGTATCTGGATCAGTATCCGCATTGGTACAATGGCTTACAGGACTCTGCCCTTCTAAAATGTGCTACAGCTCCGATCGAAGCAGTAGGCCTACATACTGGGTCCTGCAGGTTGTTTTAATTAGAAGGAAAAATTAATTGTGGCATCAACGATAACATGAGGGTGTATAGAGGAGCTGCTGCTCAGCACACAGGAGAGGAGTAGGAGTGAGGTTATTTGCTCACCATTCTAAACCACTGAAAAAGCTGGATTTCAGCCAACACTCAGCCTAGAAAGTTCTGTGCTTATGTCCGGGTCACCTTTTGGTGGGTACTCTGGCTGGTTGTTTTCCGAACCTTCATCAAGTCTGATTTCAGTGCATTTATGATCTCAATGGGTTTCTTTTCCTTTCAAACACACACACTTCTACAAAATAATATGCACCAAAATAACTCCCTGAATATGACGTGCTCCTTTCTTTGCATAGTGATTATGATTTCAACGGTCTGACAGCTGCTTTGGTTCTCTGCTTCCATAAAGGAGCCTAATGGCTTTTTACCACTTCCCTAATGAAGTGTGGCAGTTATACCCAAGCAGAATGATGGAACTTTCATGTTTTCTTAGATTAAAAGTAGTCCTGGTATAGTATAAATGCCATAGGACGTGCCTTTTAGGCTGAAAGCCTCTTAGATTTAGATTCCATTTATTAGTGAAAAAATAACTTCTGTATTACAGAGAACTGCTAAACTATTACAATTTATAGATATCTACCCAAGCATTTTTTTTTTCTTCCCAGTAATATCCTACTAATATTATTCAGGATATTGTTTAGTAGGACATCCTTTGGAGATATCCAGAATTTTAAGAGTGTCACTTTTATCAAAGCATTCAAGATGTTGTTCTAAGAAAATCTTTTCCTCTCTAATATTTTGGTTAATGTGAATTCAGTTATTCAGACTTAGAGACAGATGTAATTTTAAGCATATGAAGACCTATATAAGGTTTTGCATATGTTTGCAGGATCATGCACCTTTATGCTGTCTAATGTAGCAGCCATATCATTCTCTTTTCCTTTGTGATCGTGTTACTCAACTTTTGAAAGCAGTCTTCAAAAGCAGACTGATTTCTTTCGTCAGAATTGTTTTACAAGTGCACTAGGAGAAAGTAATCTCATGCCAAACCATCTGAAGTTTTTCCTAGCTCTGCATAACCCAAGTTCCTTTGTGCCTGTGTAAACCAAATATTTTCTTTGTGACTTGTGAGTAATCTATATTCTTTCTGTTCTGGTATGCAGTGAGGGCTCATGAAGATAGGCACTTTGTTCCTATGGTTACTCTATTTTAACTGATGCTAGTTTTGTGTTGCTTCAGTTTTAGGCTAAACAGACTGGTTCCAGACTTGCTTTCTATCTATTTTGGAGGAAAATCTGAGCAGAAGACTTCCACTTTTCAACCAGGAGATTAATATACTTCATATTTTAACCAGTTGTTCTGTTAATGGGAGAAATGCGGGAGCCTGATATTTTCAAGTCCTACCTTCACACACACTTATTCCCTCCCATATCCCCTAGATGTCCCTGACCCCTCTCCCCATCATCCCAAACCTGTCCCTCCTTCATCTGCCTGCCTTTAATGTTCTGCCTGCGGGAGAAGCAGTGTGTCCTAGAACTGGTGCATGCAGGTGTGCTTGGTAAAGGCTGTAGCTGTGCCACTTCCTCCTGGCTGTTAGGCCAGCAAACAGTGAGGGTAAAGCTGAATTCTCCCTGCCCCTTCTTCCATCAAAAGCAGCAACAAGAGCACACGGCTCTGTTGCCCACCTATTGATTTTGTAGACCTTCGTATCTCTGTGATCTCTGTATTTTGTTAACTTTGATTGAATTGGTTAAATAGGTCAAAATTATTATGGAGAGACTGATGGACGATGACCACATTGTTGCATGTACTTCATTTCCTTAGGAATGTTTTTAGTCAAACATTCTTCCATTTTTTTAGCAACTATTGTAGCCAATGTCTGAGGGGTGGTTACATGGGATTTCATTTTTTTCTGATTATACAGTAATAAATAACATGGGGCAATTGCCATTTATTTGGTAAGATTTGCTACTTTGAACATTACTGTAAATGCAAAGGTAAAAATGCCCAACAACCACAATATTAAATTCTAATTCTAAATTTGAAGCTGAGGCAGGTAATTGATTTGCAATTTTCTTGTCAGAATCTGAGAAACTTTGGCTTTCAGAAAATCCAGATTTGAATCAAATGTTGAAGAACTGGGTCTTTTTAAACCAGAAATGGTTCTATGCCAACAGCATGTGCTAGGAAGTTACATTGCTGCACTAACTGCATGGGCTGCAGTCCTGCATTCGGTTTCCCAAGGATTAGTCCCATACTTGTTCCCCATGTGCATTTTAATTGTGTTAAGAGTATTTCCACAATTTCATAGAACTCCTTGCTCTATGAAAATTACAAAATTAAAAAAGAACAAAGTAAAAGATGTCTGGAAAATATTTATTTAATGTTTGAAGCATTGAAATAACCCAGGAAAACTGTGGTTTATTCTTGATCAAAGGCTTCTTCTGTTTTGCTGAGTAAGACTTTATTTTTACAAGCCACAAAGAAATTATATTACATTTGCATAGAGAATTCTGAGTCCAACATATAACTAACTTTTGAGTGCTTGGTGTTGTATCCTTAATGCTTTTATAACATCATATTAAAAATCAATTCTGTTTGAGTTCTGGCAGTTTTGTGATGTTGTTACTTCAGCGCTTCAGGGTTTACTTAAGGAAAACAACAGCAGGAACTGAAATTACCTAAACAGTAGATTTCAAAGACTGACGTAAGTAGAAAGAAAGTAGTTTTATTTAACACATGGAATTATGCATGTAAAATCTGTGTTACTGTAATGAAATGTAAAGCTGGCTAGGGATCTCTGAGCAAAGCTTCAGGGTTTCTTAAACTGTTCTTTGAGCCAGCTTGTTTCTTACTTTCTCATGTCTTACTGCAAGACAAAGTGAGCATAAGATTTAAACGTCACAAAAAGAAGCGATTCATACTATAAGTAGGATGGATAGTCACTTGGAATATTTTTGCGATGAAGACGTACCTAAGAGGCGGAGAATTGCTCTCATAAAATGTAGTTGTACTTTTGAGCTGTAGGTGGCAGCAGTAATTGTATCGACCAAGGGCAATATGGATAAATTTTCTCTAAAAGCCTCAGGTTCTTGAAATGTGTGTTTAGGGAGTGTGGTAACTCAGACTCATTGCTCTCAGAAGGAATTCTGAAGGGACTTAAACTGTTGTACGAGACTATTATAGCAAAAGTCAATAATTCTGCTACTAACAAATGTCAGTTATAATAAAAGCTCAGCTGCATAGGAAGGCTGAGAGAATGGAAAGGCCTGGATTCATGGAATGTTAACAAGGTCCAGAATAATTGTTTAATCTTATCAGAAATTACTTTATATGATGTTTGTTACAAAACTAATACTTGGGTTCAGTTTATAAGCACTACAATTTGATGTTTTAAATTGGTCCTCATTTTGATATTCCCTTGTAACTAGAACAAGGGAAACTGTCTTTGTAGTTGTATGCATTATATCATGATTTACACTTTCCCAGAATAAATACATAATTATGCATTTCTAAGCTGAAGTTTTATGTACAAAGGAAGAATTGTACCTATGCAAATTTAGCAACACAGGCATGTTGTCTTCCACAGAGTTATAATTGTTTCTTTCCAGTATCTAGTTCTGCTCTTTGTTTCAGGAGCATTGCAGGACCTGTTTGCTGAAATGTCTGTGGGTTTTGTCTAGCATGGGACCAAAAAACCAGTTGACACAGTTACTTTGTTTAGAGAATGACAGTAGAATGTCATTAATCAGGACTAGCTACATAAAAATGATAGTTTCGGAGGAAGAATGATAGGTATGGTGGCAGATGTAACATTTATTATCTAGAGCTACGAGCTTTTTTCCATTCATAGGTATTAAGTTTAAATAGGTCCTAAATCAGAGAATAGGTCCTAAATCAGAGAACAAGCTCTTTCAGAAAGCAGGAGGTTCCACTAAAAAGCCCCCAGAAACATAAAATCTGAGACGTCCCTTGAAGACGTTAGAAAATGATAGTGATGGTGAAGTTACATCACTAGGAAAATTACTTAAAAGTGCCTCAGCATCAAGAAGCATGGAAATAAACCTGCTACTTTTTTCCATGTATGTATTTCAGTTCTAAGAATTGCATTCTGTGTAACAGTAAAGGCTGTGGGTTTAGTACATGTAACAGCTAAATGCTGTTGCATATTCACCTGCAGGTATGGGTATGTATGGAGCACTCTACCTTATTTTGCATGCCTGGTCAATTTGGCGATAAAACTATCCTTCAAGTCACGTTCAGAAAAGTAAAAATAAAGACTCTAAAATCTTAAATCTAAATTAATTAAAACTGGGAGATATCTACTACTGGAAACTATGTCATAAAGCATATATTCTGTACTTCACTAAATTATTCTTGATGTGATAGTATTTATTTTTCAGCTTACTGAATACAGATGTCATTTCAGAGTTAGATAATTAGAATGTGACAGAAAAGTTGATAGTAGGAAACAAATTTTGGATTCATTTTAAATAGACACACAGAAGGTAAGTTCCAGTTCTGGATTCTAAGCAGGTAAGCAGATGCAGAGAGAAATAGTTCATACAGTCACCTGTACTTGAAAGATCACATTTTTGCATAAAGAAGATTTTATACAAAGAAGATACTATTTTATACAAAGAAGATACTATTTTATACAAATAAGATACTATTTTATATAAAGAAGACATATTTGGATCAAATTGTTCTAGTGCCTTCAACAAAAGCAAGAAGAAAAAAATAATTGAATGGCCTTCACATACTTCAGGAACACTTCTGAATCAGCTGCTTCTTAATAAGTACAATTATTAGAGACAAAAAACCTTCAAAGAAAAGTTTACCTTAAAAATCAGAGGATTTAGGGAAAGAGTGAGAGCAATCTGGTGTAGAGATCTTACACTTTCAGATTTAGTTCTGAATGGAATTTTAGCTGTTTATAAAGGGTTGAGAAAGTAGGTTTACAAAGCAGCAATGGCTGGAATCAGGGTAATCTATGTTAAAAAAAATCAGTTACACATTTTTATTGGGGATACTGAGCATGCAATAACCTCAACCATCTCACTTTTGAGAGGGCACAGAAATGGGAAGAACTAAAGAATCTTGCAGAACTTCTACTTAAATTGGTGTAAAAATTTGTTGAACCTGGTCCTAAAAAGAATTTGCAGTGAAGACTTGTAGTTAATGACTGAGTTTGAATTACAGCTTGAATCTCGCTCTGATATCACAAAGTTACGTTGGATCTGACCAGTATGAATGGAGCAGCGTGAGAAGAAGCTGTAGGAAGCCTTGACCAGGAGTTTGCCATCTTAGCTTAGGAGCTGCACTGAAGCCTGGGCCTTGGCTTTGATCTTTGCCTGAGCTGTGCCTGGGTTCAGCCTTGTACTTTGCTGATTCCAGCCTTGTCTTGCTGACCTGACTTCTTGGCTTGTCCTTAGACATACCTCATTATTACAGATGCATGTGGTGATCATTGACCTATTGGGTGCAACATCACTGGACCAGTTCTCTTCTTGTTCAGGTACTGTGGCTTATGACCCTTGTCAGTATGCTCCCTGCTTGGGCCTGCCTTGATTTTACCCTTGGCTCCTGGCTCATCCTCGCTGATGGAGCAGTCTGCTCTTTTGAACCCTGACAGTATGGTCAGGCCCTCCTTGAAAGAGGTGTCCAGGTAGAACACCTCATGTTCTGGAAAATTTCTTACAAAACTTATATCTTCTTTCCTTGTGATAGTCAAGGAAACTTTGAAGAATGTTATTAATCCACTTGTCACCTTCATAATTCTGCTCTGCTGCAGTATCTGTAAAGAAATATTTAAAGTCGGCTATTCAGAATTCAAAACACACTGGAGTATACTGTGAGTCTGCTACATGCCTTAAAGTTTCACATTTCATCAGGAAGCATGATTTAACAAAAATCTCAGAAGTCACAGGAATTCAAAAAATCTGCAGGTTCAGATTCCACATTTTTCAGAACGTGAGATTATTAGCATTTACCATACATGGCCGTGAAATTGATTATTTCTAGTATTTCAAACCTAGGATATAGTCTTTACTTTGGCAATCTATACTTGTAAAGAAAAGGCAAGAAATTGGTTTAAATCTGTCCATATGCTCTGGGTAGATTACTTAGTGCACGGATGATAGGTGTTTGGTTTTTTTTTTTCTTTTATATTTCAGGCAGTACTTTCATTTTATTAGGGATATACTGCTACAGGAAAAAAAAAAAAAAACGTACTAAAATGATGGAGCACTTTCAGATAATCATAGATAAAGGCTTCACAGCTATCCATGATGAACATTCTGCTTAGGCAGTTTAATGTGACTATCCTGCTGTGTCAGATCAAAAGATTTATTTCTTGTGAAAAAACATGAGAGATCTGAATCCCAGCTTCTTCTCCATGAAAGAATGCTGAAAGAAAGAATAGTAGCAGTAAGATAATTCTGATTAAAGCTGACTCTGAGTGGGTACTTTGAGAAATTTTGTCAAGAGCTGTGTAAGTACTTGATTAATCATACACAGGTCTATCTGTAGGCTCCAGTAACGAGACATAGTGAATCAGTCAGTTTTCATCTCTCTCAGAGATGCTTCCTGCCATACTGGGGCAAATCTCCTGAAGTAACTTGGCTCTTTACACTGAAATCCTGCTGTGCAGTCAGCTGAGCTGAGGATATTCTTAGGCTGGTTAATAGGCATGTCAGTATAATGTTCTACATTAAACAAGTAGGACAGACTAGAGTTGCTAGGAGTCACCAGGTTATTTCTTGTTTGGAGTGGTGCTGCTTAATACTTGCCAGGAAGTATTTCTGCAGATATTTCTGCCTTTTTTTCTCTCATCATTCACAAAACAAGAGAGAGGAAAAACCCACCAGAATGGCTCTTTCAGCTGGGTGGGAGTCACATTGACTCCTGTGATTAACAAACAAAACTGTTTCAGCTGCTGACATCCCAGGATTTTTGCATCTCTACTTTAGCTGGATATGTATGGACTAGGGAAAGTACCTTTATTTTGTCAAATTCGAGTTACTTCAAAAACTTCTAGTGTTTAAAATAAAAGCAGCAAGTTCACTCTAACCAGAAAAATTTTTTATTATAAAATAAACCTATTAAAAATGATGACAGTAGGTATTTTTCTGTGTTTTGTTCTTGCTGTCCTTCACAGTAGATCTGCAAAGCTAAGTTGCAGGAAGGGACAGTAAAGGATTGGAATAGTAAAAGCAGGGATTTTTCAGTTTTTATTCCTCAGGACATAGCTGCTCTTTCTAATGACTTACCTAAAATTGTATTTTCTCAGACCATTTGTTCACAATGAACTATCTCTCTCACCTGTAGTTCTGCAGAACTGTTACAAGTTTGTTTCATCTGACAGAAATACAATTCTGAATTTATACCAAATATAACCGTGATGACTTGGCTTTCTTATCTCTGGTTGTCCAAGACAGGAAGGTACAGTAGGCCATTCTTTTCTCTAGAAACCCCTGAGTTCACATTCCTATTACATTAATTTGCATGTTAATTCCATCTTGATTGATTTCCCTGCATATCACTTTTAAGAGTGAACATCACAGAATCAACTAGGTTGGAAAAGACCTTTAAGATCATCAAGTCCAAAGATCATAATGAAAGTCCAAGATCATCATCATTACAGGTCATATGAGAAATATTTCCAACTTTGCAGTTTTGTAGAAATTACTCATTAAATAATACTGATACACCAGGCATTCAAAGTACCTTTCTAAATAGCCTTCTGCTCAGTTTTGGAACTAGAACCATAATAATTCTGGCTTAAAAGCCAGCATTACTAATTAGTCGGTACCACCCAGTCCCCTTTCAGAAGCATGTCTAAATATATCAGATTTCTTTGGCTCCAAATATACAATATTAGAATACATCAGTATAAAATACACAGAGTTTATTGTTTCACCTGCATAATTAGGATCTTTAGCTACAAATATGTATTTTCATTGTCAAGTGGTGCAGATTTTACCAACAGCATGAATGCTGTCTTGCTATATTCACTAATATAAACATTAGCTTTATAAGACATCCTCTGGATTGGTGCATCAGAAGCTCATCATCTAGATGCAACTGATACGTGGTATAGGTATCCCGCATAGGTAGGATCCTAGTACTTAAACCTATCACTAGGAAAACAATAAGTTATCACACAACAGAATGTACAGTCATAGAATCATAGAATAGTTAGGGTTTGAAAGGACCTTAAGATCATCTAGTTCCAACCTCCCTGCCATGAGCTGGGACACCTCCCACTAAACCGTATCATCCAAGGCTCTGTCCAACCTGGCCTTGAACACCACCAGGGATGGAGCATTCACAGCTTCCCTGGGCAACCCATTCCAGTGCCTCACCACCCTAATGGGAAAGAACTTCTTCCTTATATCCAATCTAAACTTCCCCTGTTTAAGTTTTAACCCATTACCCCTTGTCCTATCACTACAATGCCTAAATACACAGAAGGCTTGTGATGTCCACGCAGCCTTTTCACCTCAGGCATAATTCCAACAGTTCCATGTCCTTTTTATGTTCTTCCAAGTGAGGTCTCACACCTGCTGGTCACACTCCTTTTGATGCAGCCCAGGATACAGTTGGCTTTCTGGGCTGCGAGCGCACACTGAAGCCAGCTCATGTTCATTTTCTTATTGAGCAACACCCCCAAGTCCTTCTCCTCAGGGCTGCTCTGAATCTTTTCTCTGCCCAACCTGTAGCTGTGCCTGGGATTGCTCTGACCCAGGTGTAGGACCTTGCACTTGGCACGGTTAAACTTCATAAGGTTGGCATCAGCCCACCTCACAAGCATGTCAAGGTCCCTCTGGATGGCATTTCTTCCCTCCAGCATTATCAACTGAACCACACAGCTTGGTGTCACTGGCACTGAGGGTGCACTCAATCCCACTGTCCATGTCAGTGACGAAGATGTTGAACAAGAGAGGTCCCAACACCAATCCCTGAGGGACACCACTCATTACTGGTCTCCAGCCGGACATTGATCCATTGACCACAACTCTTTGCGTGTGACTGTCCAGCCAGTTCTTTATCCACCGAGTGGTCCACCTATCAAATTGATGTCTCTCCAATTTAGAGACAAGGATGTCGTGTGGGACAGTGTCGAAAGCTTTGCGCAAGTCCAGGTAGATGACGTCAACTGCTCTACCCCTGTCCATGAGTTCTGTAGCCCCATCATAGAAGGCCACTAAATTGGTCAGGCAGGATTTCCCCTCAGTGAAGCCATGCTGGCTGTCACCAAGCACCTTGTTGTTTTTCATGTGCCTTAGCATGCCTTCCAGGAGAATCTGCTCCAAGATTTTGCCAGGCAGAGGTGAGACTGACTGGTCTGTAATTCCCCGGGTCATCCATTTTCCCCTTCTTGAAAATGGGGGTTATATTTCCCTTTTTCCAGTCATCGGGAACTTCACCTGACTGCCATGATTTTTCAAATATGATGGCCAGCGGCTTCGCAACTTCATTTGCCAGCTCCTTCAGGACCCACTGTTGGATTTCATCAGGTCCCATGGACTCGTGCATGTTCAGGTTATTAAGATGGTCTCGAACCAGATCCTCTCCTACAATGGGCCTAGGGTCTTCATTCTCACAGTCCCTGCGTCTGCCTTCCAATACTTGGGTGGTGTGGTCAGAGCATTTGCCAGTGAAGACTGAGGCAAAGAAGTCATTAAGAACCTCAGCCTTCTCCAAATCCTGTGTAGCCAGTTCTTCTTGTAAACTTTAATGCTAGCAATACAAAGACAGCTTAGTTAACATTGTTCTAGTAGCATCTGGGAATGATGTGAGGACATTAGGTATGCAACTAGTGTTTCAAAGCATGTACTATTAGCATCTCTAACATGGCACTTACAAAGAGTGTAATTGGACAGCTGATGAATTGAGAATGCTTCTTCACAATTTCTTTGATTTGCCTTTCTTCCAAATAGTCTCTTTGGTCTTACTTTGGATTTAGGATAATCTTTGTTCTACAGCCTTGGGGTTCCCCTTGAGTGAAATCTGAGAGCTTTAGTGGCAGCACAAATGTCCAAATAGCAAGTTTTTTCTGAAACTAAGAGTTAATGTAATTGTAACAAGAAATTCTTAATCATCACTGACTACATGAAGATGGTGAACTGGTGCTTCATGCTTAATTCTGTGCTCCAACAAATGCAACAACTACAGCAATTACACCATTTCAATGTGTCTTTCCCCCAGTTTTCAAAACCCTCATGGAAATTTATTATATTTAAATTTTTTCTTTAAATGTAGTACATATTATAAAATGCAATACATCAGTGGAGCTGTATTACCAACTTCATTCTCTTGCTTTATAAAGTTCAGACAGTCATTATTTCCCAGACAGGGCAAATTTGCTGTTAAAGTTAGATACTATTACATTAGATTGTGTGCCTGTGCTCCCGCTGCTGTTCTGCAGTGTTTTCACTTGACGTTAGCTAGTCTTGAAGTGAAGGTGACATGCAAACTGCCTATCTTTTTTGTTTTGTGAGCTCAGTCACATTTGCAATCAGGTAGGCAGAGAAGAAGCTGACCCCAAACCGACCAGTCCTGAAGACACCAGCACAAGCAATATTTACATAAAAGCTCCATTGCTGGAAGTCACAGTAGTAATGGGGTCAGCTTTGGTCATCCTGTGCCTGAATCCATGATGAGAATACAGTTGTGCTCATTGGGTCAGTCATTTCCAGAATCCAGCTTGTTTGGATCAGTCAAGGCCTTGAGTCTGATTTTGTCCAGAGACTAAAACAGAAGGCTTAAGCATTCTCAGGATATACTTAAGAATTCAGGCAGTTTTTTACTGGCTGAATCACATTAATGGCTAGATAGCTTGCAGCCAATGAATTGCAAACTGGCTCCCTCAGAAAGGTTTTCTTGCTGCAATAGACAGTGTTGATGAGGTACTATCTCAGCCTGGAAGGCAAGAGTCTTCTCTTCATCCATGGGTTGATCTTCAGTTTGCACAGGTTCAGTGTTAATAAGGATAAACATAGCTGAACCCTTATTGCATGTATATTCATACACACACACAACTGTAGTATATGGCTTTTTAAACAGTGAAAAAATATAAGTAATTTTCGATATACATATTGAGAGTGAAGGACAAAAGATATAATTACTGTTTCAGATGTATCGTTAATATTCCAATGTATATTTTGGATTTTTGATTCTCTCTGATTTTTAATTTGCTTAAGATGGAGATAGAATAGGATGAATAATGGTTTAATCAAGAGGAAATTTGTAGGCTTTTTAATGTGGTCAGTTTAAACTTACAAAGTTTAACCATGCCAAGTGCAAGGTCCTACACCTGGGTCGGAGCAATCCCAGGCACAGCTACAGGTTGGGCAGAGAAGAGATTCAGAGCAACCCTGAGGAGAAGGACTTGGGGGTGTTGGTCGATGAGAAAATGAACATGAGCCGGCTTCAGTGTGTGCTCGCAGCCCAGAAAGCCAACTGTATCCTGGGCTGCATCAAAAGGAGCATGACCAGCAGGTCGAAGGAGGTGATCCTGCCCCTCTACTCTGCTCTTGTGAGACCTCACCTGGAGTATTGTGTGCAGTTTTTGTGTCCTCAACATAAAAAGGACATGGAACTGTTGGAACAAGTCCAGAGAAGGGCCAGGAGGATGATCAGGGGACTGGAGCACCTCCCGTATGAAGATAGCCTGAGAAAGTTGGGGCTGTTGAGCCTGCAGAAGAGAAGGCTGTGTGGACACCTCATAGCAGCCTTCCAGTATCTCAAGGGGGGGTATAGGGATGCTGGGGATGGACTCTTCATTAGGGACTGTAGTGACAAGGGGTAATGGGTTAAAACTTAAACAGGGGAAGTTTAGATTGGATATAAGGAGGAAGTTCTTTCCTGTTAGGGTGGTGAGGCACTGGAATGGGTTGCCCAGGGAAGTTGTGAATGCTCTATCCCTGGCGGTGTTCAAGGCCAGGTTGGACAGAGCCTTGGGTGAGATGGTTTAGTGTGAGGTGTCCCAGCTCATGGCAGGGAGGTTGGAACTAGATGATCTTAAGGTCCTTTTCAACCCTAACTATTCTATGATTCTATGATTTTATGACTGTATTATAAAGCAAGAAAAGTCATCACAAGATTTATTATCATTAATTAACTTTCCATTTACATTCTGGGACATGCCATAGTTTAAATTTTACAGTTATGACAAAATAACAAGAAAGACTGGAGATTCTCACTGTCCTTTACCTGAAAGGCCACCTGTATAGGTACACTCTGAGGTAATGATTTAATTTTAAGAATAAGCTTGAAATTTCTCTGGGAAAATAAGAGATATTTTCTTAATTGGTATAATGGTGAGACTAATATGGACTCACAATCCATTAAAGTCAGAATAATACTGCAAGGCATCACATTTTATTGAAGTGTTGTAGAGTGCCTTCTGTTGATCATTTAATGGTAACCAAGTCTGAAACCACCCGAAGATGTAGAGTTCCTATTTAAGATATGCTCATATTTAATGTTCTTACCTAAGTTATGCTTAAACAGCCCACTTTATTAATTTGTTTTGAATAAAGACCATGACAGCTTTGTGTCTCACTATTACCTGGTTTTATTTTGCCCATAGTTGTCTTCTGTCACAGCTGTGGGAAAGAGAGAAGACAAGAAACAGAATTCGGGTGACTAGAAAGATTATGACAAAATTATGTTTGAATTTTCCAAAGGGAAGTGATGGAAAGAAACGCACTGTAGCCACATTTCAGCTTACCTTAGCAGAGCAACCAATCTTCATGAGCTAAGTCTGTCAGTAAAAGAATCACTGTTATCACTCATCTTTCTGCTGAACTTAACTCTATGTAGGTAACCTTAAATCCAAGCTTTTTTATAAAAATCAGCCATTACTTGGTAGAGACATGCAGCAAGAGAGGGGGAGTAGAGAGAAACTGATCAAGACTTCTTAGGCATGAAGCAAGTCAAGACAGGCGCTGAGGGTGCATTACTTTGACATACCAAAGGCTGACTGGGTTTGCTGGCCCGTATGTTAGAGGCAAGCAGCCTCCTCCTTTGTTGTTTAGAAACTATGATCCTGATCCTGCACTTCAAAAGATCTTTTAGAATTTATCCTTACAGAAGGTAAGTAAAATGCTACCTACTCAAAATAGTGTTGACTTATATTGATATTGCACAAATACAAATTATAAGGGTAAACTTAGAGAATCACAGAAGGTTTGAGGTTGGAAGGAACCTCTGGAGGTCATCTCATCCAACCCCTCTGCTCAAGCAGGGCCACTTAGAGGAGGTTGCTCATGAGTATGTCCACTAACAGCTGCTCTGAAATGAACTCATTGAAGGGTGACATCCCTTTGCAGTTACACAAACTGGAACCACAGCCCCCTCAGAAAGAATTTTAAAGCTAGATGTTCTGCAAGAGCAGCTGATTCTGCCCCTCACACATGGCCTCTCCTCAAAGAGCACTGAAGAACAGAAATGCTCTCTTTGTGAATGGGGCTGTTTGGCTAAAGTGTGTTAATGTACTCTTCATGATTTCGAATGCAAATGAAGATAGTAACACCCTAACTTGTAAGATCAATCCATTAAAGCAAAGGAGAAACTTAGAAACTATGTTACTAACACACTAATGAGGTTTCCTCCTTGGTGCTTGCATTATTGCTGCAGTGGGCAAAGGGAGGAATATGGGTCTCTGTGTATGCCCTGCTACCGATCTACGAGCTGGAGCATGAGAGCTCAGCATGAAGTCTCTCTAGTTTGCAATGCTGTTAGAATTCACCAGATGGGGCTAATACAGCAAGTATAAATATTCTCTATAGAAGTTATACTGAACAAATATAGATAGGTAGAGAGCAACATATATCTGCACATATGGCATAGGAGTTTAAACCTTTTTTTTTTTTTTAAGTTAACCCACTCAATGAGTCCATTGTTTATAACAGAAACTTTGTTTCGATAATTTTCTATGAACTGTATGCTCAACTATTCAACCATTCACCATCCCCCCACCCCCTCCCCCCCGAAATCAACAGCTGTCTCAGGAAATCTGTACATTAGATTAGGCTTGGTTTTTGTTGGTTTGTTTTTTTTTTTTAAATCTCTAAACAACCTCACATACATAAAAATGGAAGGGTATATATGTTGTCTTCCATTTCTAGCTATTATGCTTTTTTCTATGCTTAAATAAACATACAAATAAAACTTTAAAAAAATAGTTTAAGCATATAAATGTGTACAGCTTTCCCTTTTCATGTGGTACGTGAATAAAGAGACTGATCCTGTCTCCTAACTCCACCTCCCAGATTTAGTTTCATGTACAGACTCTGAACATACTGAGACATTGCAGTAAAGTTCTAGTTAGCTGTTTTTTGAGAAAGGCAATTCCCACATGCCAGTGCATCTGTCAGCTGCCCTCATCTATGTCAAATGACAGAATCAGGAAGTTAGTACCCGAAAATTGAAAGTACTTGCCTGTGAAAGATGTCAGACTAAGGCTCTCTATTAACAAGCAATTCTATCATTATTGCTATCAAAGGAGATGAAAATACATCAATATTTAGTATGTATCTACCTTATATTTGATGTTAGCATGTTATACCTACTTATGAAAAAAAAAATCAGTGAAAAAATAGACATCAGATGTATTTAACTAAACTGACTGAAGAGCTATTGGGAAATTACATTAATCACGTTATACCTAGCACTTGGTCATAGAAGGATGGAGGCAAGAGACAGGGAATGTCAGACCATTATTGACTACTTGATTACTGGTAAGTATATATTACAGAAGACTACATTGTATGAGCTGGATAAGGATGACAGTTTCAGGAAAAACCAGAAAAGCAGGGACCCAAGAGCCTACTCTACATAGGTAATCTTAAGACCACACTTTTCTTTAGTAATCCTATCATGTGCTTTATATGTGCACCGAGAGAGAGTAGAGAGAAAATAAACAAGTTTCATTAAACATGGAAGAAATCAGACTTCCAGTTAGGCAGTTAGACTGAGTGCTGATAAGTTTTTATGGTGAACAATTTTTTTGTATGATGAAATTATAATGTGCATATGGTAAGAATACATGCATCATATCAATAAATCCCCATTCTCCTCAGCCAACCTCTCTTTTGTCCTGCAGATGACAAAACTGCTATAATGA